CTCAGTCTCCACCATCCTCCCAGGTCGCCCACGTGATCTCAATTAGCATTTCCAGTTACTTCTCTAGATCTAGGCTCTTCCCTTCTGTAACACTACGAACAATCAGCTTCCAACAAGATCTCATTTAATGATAAAAGTGAATATTCCACCAACAAGCTCTCAGCCCCAGCAGCCCTCAGGACCAAGGACTGCTACCTTCGTTAACAGCAACACCACATCTCTCCAGAAGCTTAGCTCCAAGTTATTCTGGTTCCTTTTATTTTTGGCCTTTTGAACATTCTCCTTCATTTTTGGATTTTCCGTAATCGATCATGAGGAGTAGCCAGGTAAAGATCTAAACACAGCTCTTTAAACTCTACTCGGCACCCTGCCGCAACCAGAGCTGGGTCAGAAGGGCGACTGCCTTGGCGAATGAGACCAGCTGAACTGGTCACGGAGGTGTCTCTAGAGACGCGAGATGCTCCTGCTCTGAGGAATGGTTCCTAGCTGAAACGTTAATTAAGGAAGCAGGCTGAGGAACTACAGCATCTCCTTTCCCTCGGAGGTCTGCCTCTCCCATCACCCAGGAGTATTACCACCAGCCCCAGACACAGACGCAGCGAGACTTGTGTTGTCTTGACTCGGGCAATGTGAGAAACAACAAAAGGCTACAATAATCAGAGCATAAACACCCAGCAGCTAAAATCCGTAAGAAGGTATTCTGGCTTGTTTTCTTTCTTTCTTTCTCGGTATGAAATGCTTATTAACACGATGTATTACAGCTGCTACTTGGCTGCAAAGCTTGTTTACATATTGTGTGCGAAAACATACATAAACCAAACCACAATGTCCTAATTCCGTTTGATGCTTGTCTCCTTGTGCTTTTTGGAGTTACTCTGTTTGCAAATAAACTTTAAAAGTTTCTGCAAGTCTAGCTTTGTCCAACTGAACTACGAGCCCCTCCGTGCGTCAGCAGCACAGACATTAGCCAACCCAATAAACAGCTCCTGCCTTAGACAAGTTTTCTTATAAATTTTTGAGGCACTTGCTCAAAAAGCCCCAAAAAGCAACTCCCTGCAAGACTGATACTACAATGAAAAAAAAAAAAAATCATCTATTTTTGCACGTTATGTTTCTTAAAATAATGTTTTGGCATCCGAATCTGTTTTCTTGGCAGAAACAAGCAACACCACTGGGAAAATTGGAAGCAGTCATACACCAAGCAAGTCTCATCCAGACAACTTTGAAAAACAGATTCTCAGTTGATACAATTCAAGCAGCTACAATATCACTCCTGATTCAACAGGACCTTCACCAAGAGAATCTTTCAGATTGGGCACCTAACTCTTTTCTCCGAGAGAGAAATTTCAGTATAAACACAGAAATGGAATGAATTATTGAAGAGCTTAGAGCCATGATTTTTCCCAGTGATACTATAAAACAGTTTCTTCACTCTAGGGACTTGCAAGAAGAAAAAGTTACTGGGAAGAAAAATAAGAACTGCTAAAAAAAGGACATTTTGTGGCATTTCCTCAAAGTTGAACGCTTTTGATGAATATTTCATTACCAGCTCAGCAATCACTTTACAAGGATGCTCTGCGATTTTCCTCTATCTGATACGCAGGATTTTTTTTGTACAGTTCAAGAAGGGGGCAAAGCCAGAAAATAAAAAAAAGCCAGCAGCCAAACAAACGTTGGAAGGGATGGTGAAAACCATCAGTCACTACACCTTAATGTCAATACATCAGGCAACTTACTCAGTAAAATTTTGTCTACATGCAGAAATACAAAAAAAAAGTAAAAAAAAAAAAAAAAAGCTTTTTTCTCTAAGTGGTTATTCCCTTTCCCAGAAACAAAATTCAGACTAACACATGTAGGAGTTAAACCTCATTTTTTTCAATGCATCCTTAGCTGTCTGTTTTAACACTTATTACTTGTTTCCTGTTTCTGAGCTTTATTTGTTTGCTTGTGAACAATTTGCTGTCTAGCGTTCACACCACAGACATTACCACGTGGATTCCAAATACACATTTCCTTTCTAGGCAGACATTCTCATCCACATCTGTAGAAAACAACAGGGCAAATTAAGTGGATTTGGTTCAAGAGCAGACCTCGAGAAATCCCTCTTCATGCAGTACTAAGAGTCTATTTATCCTTGAAAGGATTTTAGCTCATAGAGGAGTGTCCCAAAGAGTGGGTAACACACATTTACATAAAGAAATAACAGATCTTTATCGATCATAGGCAAGCACAACTTGAAAGTTTCCAGGATGGCAGATAAATTTAGCTTCTTGTAAGACCACTGATATGGGAAACTGATTATGCTTCCGACTCTCGAGAGACTATGTACAGAGTATTTTTAAAAGCATATGTCTTCAGCTAGTATTTTCAAGTCAGAGCACTGGCACTCTCACACAGCACAATTATAAAACTGCAGTACGGTAACGACAAGGCAGGAAGTGGGGAATCCAGTGCAAGAGTTGAAAGCAAAGAAGAAATAGCTATTTACACACAGGCATTCATGACTGCTCTTTGTGTCCAGCTCACCTTATCAAAGGGAGGGTAATTGATAGGGTGTTTTGAATATTCTTGAAATCTAATGTGCAAAGCTGTTGCATTTTCAGTGTAAGGGTTAGTCTGGACGGTTCCCATTGGATTCAACATTTCTTCAAGTTCATCTGAAACATCAGACAGAACAATTAAGATTACAGGCTGAGTGTGCATTATAATTAAAAAATCTGAAAGGTAAAGATGCAGGAAGAAATGGCTTACTGCACCCAATGGAGAGAGCACGTTTTGCTGCACAGCGCTTTTACCACAACGCGCTGCATTGCCAGCATAAACTACCCATGCCCCCTAATCCACAAATGCTGGAGTATCACCCAGCGAGGAACTCATTTTCTCCTTCCAAAAGAAGCTTAAGAGTCAAGGGAAGCTGAGACACCCCTACGCTGACCCAAACCCCAGTAAGATCTGTGGCTTCTGTAAACCAGCACACACATTGCCTCTCAATCAAATATCACGAAAAAACAGTGTTTTAAGACAGATTTCTTCAACCTGAACATCAGGGAGGGAAGACTTAAATTCTAATTCACATTTTTTGCTGATGCAAATCTTGTCACATACAATACAGTTAGCTATTTCCTTTAGGATGCACAGCACAGGGAACCAAACGAAACCCAAACTGCATCTTAAAACCAGGTAACACTAGATATAAAGATGCATCTATCTTTATGTGATTTTTTCCTTCTGTAACAGATAAAACTTTCAGAATGCTATTTCCAAGCAGGCTCTTACCCTTCCTCCTTCCTGATACACAACACTTTGAGGAAAGAGATTAAGACATTATACAGTTATCCACATCAAAAATACAAGGAGCAAAGAGATTATGACAGAATAAGACATGCATTCGTAGTAAATATTCTACTATTTGATACTACTTTTTTCAGTCTTAGAAGAATTTAAAGCCCAAATCTTCTAGGTTAAACTTTACCAGGAAATGATGACCAGCTGTGCAGTACCAGTTCTCCATTCTTCAACTGCCCTTTATAATCAAACACCATGGTATTTACCCAGGCTACAGGATAATGCTGTTAAAAAAAAAAAAGAATTGACATGGAAACTAAGATGTCAGTGAACATTACTGCACAGTAAGTGCTACAATACATGAAAAATTGAGAGGGTTGGTTTTTGTCGGGTCTGTGGTTTTTTTTTTTAAATAAACGGTGGCATGTTTCAGAAAAGCAGTTTAATGCATGCAGTTTTCCATGCGTACTCCAGCACCACTGAGGACAATAAGACTTAACTTCAAGGGTGTCACTCTGCCAGTATCAAAACACACATTTCCCTGAATGAGAGCCTAGATGCTATTTTTTTTCATCTTCTCCCAATAATCCAGGGTTCAGAAAAAAAGTCACCTTTTAAAATACAATTCTTTAAACAGCCATTTGCCAATTGGCTTACAACCAAAACTTCCATGCCTTTTTTAGTGTCTGAGAAGTATAAGAAGATTTATTTTCATGCAATTCTTAATTACTCTTTTTAATTATTTTCTTTTTCCATTTTGCATTCTTGTACACTAAAAATTAGGACAATGAAAGATTTCTGAATACTTACTTCAATCTAATTCAGAGGCACACACAAGAAAAACAAATGAAATAATTACCACTTTTCCTGCTTTCCTAATGGTTTGGTATTTGGAAGGATTCATTGCCTTGGTTGACTTCTTCGTTTTCATCTTATCCATCACGGCATAAACTGCAAAGCAGAGCCTTGCCATTCTTGGCAAATCGCAGACGTTTATTTCAAATTCAAGCACTTCATTCCAAACGTGGTCACTTCTCCCAGATATTTCTGTGCTTACAATAGTTTTACAAAGGAGTTCTGTACCATGGAAAAGACCAGCCCTAACATGAACCTGCAACAAAGCAACAAGAAATTTTGAGCTTGCCACAGGACCTGCCGAATTCTGCACAGAATATTCCACAGAACATATATATATATGCACTCACCAATATTTCTATCTAAAAAGAAACACTCCTTTAGAGGTTTTTAAATGAATCAAATTCTTTTTACTTTGTTATTCATGTTCCTGGCCAAAGCAAAATACATTTGTTTAAATAATGTTGGCTACCAATTTTTTCAGTAGTGAATTATTTATATTACCACATACGACTAATAACTGTAGTAACAAATACAAGATGCGGATATACAAATGCTTTTAACTTATGTACCTAACAGAAGGAAAGGAACAAGGTAGGACTAAATTCATTTTTTTCCTTAAACATTTTATAAAAAAGTACAGAGGGAACGCTGCTAACCATGACATCAGAAATCACCTGCAATAATACCAACGGCGCACAAAAATTCCCAGGAATTCTGTTTTGTATTTGGCATTCAGAAAGAACCAAACCAGCTAGCTTGAATGATAAAAACAAGGAATAGGAAAGGAGGGCGAGAAGAGAAAGAAGCTGGAGTTATGGGCAAGGGAATTAAAAACACATGACAGGTCAATGCCAAGATGTGGCTTACTTCTGCATTTCTGTTTAATAACGTGCGTACACAGAAAACTGCAGGTTTCCACGTACCCACACTCTTGGACAGTTTCAACAAGAATGACAAGAGGTCTTTATTTCTGTTGCCAGAGCAAACAACAAAGAGAGAAATACGCCAACTTCTTTCAGATGGCCTTCCAAAATATCTGTTTGAGAGAAAGGGGGGAAAAAAAAAACAGAGGAGAGGAAGAAGAAAGGAAAAAACCAAAGAGAGAAAAAAATCCACTAATGTAATTCTTTGGTCAACACCAAAAAGAAGTTTTCCGTGCTACAGTTGAATGAGTAAGAGGTGAACCGATGTTTCAGGTTCCTCATGCTCCTCAACCAACCTCCCAACATTCCCCTTAAGCTCTCATACTGTTTCTGAGAAGGTTAAAATCTGGCACAGGTTTTGGATTTAAAAGCGTAATTCACCTTTGAATTAACCTAGACAAGACCTGTTCTGGGGAGAGCCCATCTTTCTCTCCTCCAAAGAAACAACAGCACGATCAACATGGGAGCGGTCCCAACCTCCGGGGATCTTTTCTGGCTACGCCAACCACTGCTCAGCCCTGCTGCAGGATATGGAAATGTCTACGTGCCACACGTGTGCCTGCCCACCCATCATGCAACAAACATGTGCCTGCCCACCCATCATGCAACAAACATGTGCCTGCCCACCCATCACGTAACAAACATGTGCCTGCCCACCCGTCATGTAACAACGTATGCACAGACAACACACACAGAATCAAAATTCTTGCCGATTACATTTATAGGGTTTTTTTTCTTTTTATTTCTCTATAATTAAAGATTGCAGCCTTCTAGTCTTCAAAAAAGGAAATACTGTGGCTGATGTCAGAGAACTGATTGAAATCTGATGGTTCATAACCTTCCTGAAAAAATTCACTAGATGGTCCTTTATTAATTCATTTGGAGGTTCACTGTGTGTTCAACTGAATTTATAATGAAGGTCCTTTGCTGATTTAAAGATATCCTGTTAAAATATGATTACAACTAGCCTATTGCCTGCTTATGCTTAACACTAGCAACAGTAAATATTCTAAAATCTGCCTCTTCGCTTTGTTTTTTTTTTTTAAAAAAAGATGGCTTTAAATTCATGTTTGCATAATTCTGAATATTGTTTACTGACTTCCTGTTGCCTGATATTGTAGCTTTATAAGCCACCACGCTTCCCTGACTTTTTTTTTTTTCCCACTTTATTAATATAAAAAGCATAAGTGTTCAAGTAAAACTTGATAGGAACAAAGCACTGTATGGTTGAACATATTGCTATTTTGCTTGCCTTTGGGCTAGTTCTAGGATTTCCAATCCTGTTAATGTAAGGGACTGGATCCTAATTTTTTTCTTCTCATTCTGACACTCCCCTTTTACTAATGAAATAGTACATACCAAGGGTGCAGCCAAAGAGCAAGACAAAAAGAAAAGCCACTTCAAATGTCACGTATTTGGAAAATTGGGTGACAGCTGAATGAAGTCACTTGTGCTCTAGGTGAAAACACCCGGCCCAGCTCCCTTTAGCAGGACACTACCCAGCTGACAAATGTTTTGTTTCCCACTACAAACACTGCATTTGTGAACCCTGCTGGTGGTTTCAGCAAAAACGGATAAAACGGATAAATGGTGCGAGCCACAGCACAATGAAACCAGAATAACAATGGCAGTGAATTAAACAGCCGCAGAATCAGGACCAGGAAACAAATACGTTCTCAATAGTGACAATTCCATAACAGCGTTGACCCACAATGCAGGGAGACACGCACAAGCTTGTGAGGTTACCGCGCACATTCTTGTTCTTGGGTAACTCCAGGATTTTAAATTTTTCAAGACTAAAAAGCATTCAAAATATTGAATAATATTCAGACAGAATCCACAGGCACCAACATCCAAAGAACTGGCAATTTTTCCTGCTTCTCCTCAAACTTACAAACAACATATTTTCTTTTTCCTGTAAAGTCATACTGAAATCAACCAAAACTCATTTTCTGTAAATACGGAAAAAAATACCAAAATCAAACCACCAACCAAAACCAAACATTTGATAGCTAAGTTGCTTCTGGAATCCACTTTCTCTTTTCCCTTCCCTTTTCTTTTAAAAAAATTGAAGAGTCTACAGAACGCAGAGGTAAGATGATATTGCAACCAGCTAAATAACGGTTTAAACAAATGTTTTTGCAGACATCCCTTTCCACAGTCACAGTGTCTCAGGTAGTAAAATGGTAACTGTGGCTCATTGCGCAATGTAGCAAAAAGCAGGGCTGCTAATATTCAAGGAGGCTGTAACAAGAGTTTGGAAAGAAAACCAAAATACACTGAGTATCCTGAATCGAGCATCAGCCCAGCAAACTGCCACGGCTAACTCAATTTCGCCTTAATCTACATGTCTGACTATATAATTTATTGATTGCCCAACAAAATAAAGGAAATGAATGTTGTTCTACCTCGCAGGCAAGTGTCTCGTAAAGTCTTAAAGTAGTTGTGCAATAAATTGCCATGTGTTAACAACTTGTGGTCTGTAAAACAGCCGGTAGCCCGGTCACGCACAGTTTTACAGGAAGTGATAGCACAGCTTGCTTTGGTGTTCGGCGTGTTTAGAAAATAAAAGACAGATTGTATAGAAGCGTGCAGTCTTTGCTTAGACACACATACGATATATTCTGGACTACAAATAGACCTTATGCACCACTGAAAAATGTTTGATATTTTAACTACTTCTGGTTGTTGGATGTTAAGGCAGGTAAGTTTGAATAAGCTTATTTCCCACCAACACCAGTACTTTACAGATGCCATCTTAAAAAAAAATAAATCAAATACCATATGAACATTCGTGTCACACTGATCAGGGTTATTGAGTGTTCTAATGCACATACCCAGCTTCAGACAATAAAGCAATACTTGAGCAATAAAGCGAGATTTTAACCAATACTACCATTATAACCGGGAATAATTAAAAACGCTAACACTTCTGCTGAAGTGAAGTATGTATGACCGAGTTCACTACACATTGAAAATCATTAAAATGACAAACAGAACATCTTCTGATACTAGACACTGTTACTTACTTTGGCATTTTCTTCTGTATTTAGTTTATTACCCTTTAGCAGAATAATCTTGAAAGGGTTGCAAATATCCCATACACTCTGAGAAGGGAAAAAAAGAAACAAGTTTGTTCTTAATCAACGTAATGTACTGAGACCTATTTAATAAGCTAGGCACTTCAAGTAAGAGGCATAAATACAAATGGAAAGATAGGTGTTTTTAAAAATACAGATCTGAAGTCTTAAAAAATAAATTGGTTATCGTAACTTCAAGAGCATGCAAGATGCCCTAAAGGGAAAAAAAATGTTAGGAAAAACACTAAGCCGAAAAAGAGTGGTGGTGGTAAGAAAACACATTGAGTACTACTCGCTGACAATTCAGAATAATCCTTCAAATTTACTGTTCATTCTGAATATATGTAGAGTGTGCAACAGAGCAGTCTGTCCGCATTTCTTTGGATGACGGTATGTAACTTGTAACTGTGCTGTAAGGCCACAAGTTTAGCAATAAAGGAAGCACCACACAAAAAGCTAGATGTGTGTTATGGCAGAAGTTACCGTCACCAAAGCGGCAACACCACGCAAGGGATCTGGGCTACAAGAGACCACAGTCCATGACTGCCCAAGCGAGCAGAGCCTACGCGTTGCTTTGAAGCTGGAGAATCCAGGATCTCTACAGTAACTTCTCCAGCTGCTGGTAAGAGATTACTACCCGCTCTTCGGGCTTGTGATTGGAAGTAGAGCCAATAGCAATGGAAAGGAGATGGATGAGGTGAGGGAAGGCAAGAAGTTTGCAGAAACCTCGAGGTCTGCTATTTCTGGTGCAAACCTTCTTGCAAGCAACAAGAGTTGCTTCGAGTAGACCCAGGTGACCCCTGCTGGAAATCAGTGGCAGCAGCACAAATCCCAGGCACTGTCATTCATATTCCATAGGTCACTGCTCCTTTTGGGTACTGGATATTTTCCAAATCAACTTACAGTTGTTGTTCTTGTTTTTTTTGGTGGCAGAGGAAGAGGAAGGTTGGATGATTTTCGGTTTATGGCAGCTTCTATGGCAATCATCTCCTGCTCACACATTTTCTTTATAGTGCAACACTCCACTAGAGTCAGCTGAGGAAGAGTCCTGTTCATCACACAGTTGCGGATGTACTAGAAACCCGTGGAAAACAGTGGTTATCAGCTAGCAGATTATATTCTACAGCAGGTTTCAAATCAAAGAAACAAATCACGTCTTACAAAGATACAAAGGAAACGGCGCACACCTATTTCACAACCCAAGAGGGCTGCAGACATGAGGAGTAAAGGGCATTGCTGTGCAGCACAGCTGACCACGGCACAGGAAGCAAGGTTAAATTTTGACCAAGGCACCAGAGAACAGTAACAGAAAGTTTCAGAGAGCTTTATGTACCTGAAACTGAATTAACGGGTGATCACCAAATACGTATTCCAGCCTTCCGCTAACTTGCAGCACGTAGTCAGCAGGATCGACTTCCTCGTCTTCTTTGCCATGGATAGTCAAACGTTTTCGGATTGCCAGCTCATTCAGCTTGATGGGATTCATGTTAGGGGACACCTGAAAACTAAATACATCCTAACAAAACATAAACAGGAACACTTAATGTCAAACTTGTCAGCGTCGGACGTACAAGGCTTAAATCGTAGCACATACAATAAGCAGAAATACTAAACTGTTAAAACCAGTCTATTTTAACACTTAATGTCTATAATTTTGAGTGCAATCAGAGCAAGAGTCACCCTCAAAGCTACAAAGTGGTTAATTCCCAAACCTTAACAGTATTAGAAGCACTTTTAAGAACAGAGGACTTTATCTAATCGATCCAGCAGTGATTTAAAGACTTCTGTATCAGGATATTGATCTAGAAGCTTATGCTGTAGAATGTGGATGAGGGAGACTATAAACCATGCATACCTTTCAAGGTATTTAGCAGCACTAGATGTGTTAATTTTTCTTCTTTCTGGCCACTAGCAAGTTATTCTCTTTCTAGGTACAACTGTCTCCATTGTAAAAGGTTTTCTGTGAAATCTCCCATCTCCCTTAATCTACCACCTTATGCTCTGCACACACTTATTTGCAAAGGTTGATTCAGCAAGTTCTGGGGTTTTTTGTTTTGATTTTATTTACACACACTCCGGGAGGTGTAAGCATTCTAAATCCAGTTATTTACAAATACGAAGCATTGTCTGGCTTGCATTCTTTTGACTTGTGCTTTATTTATCTAGAAATGTACTGGTTAGAAGCCAAGCTGCCCTCGTGGAAAAATCTAACTCTGTAAAGTCAGGCGAAATTAATTCTGTGTTTTCTCAGCTTCTGCATGGTTCACAACAGCTTCCCCCTCTCAGACAGCTGCCAAGCTGTGAAGGCTTTCTTCTCGTGCCATAAGTGGTAGCGGGCAGACAGGGAACGACACTTTTTCCTCCCGGGAAGCCGGTGCTCTACGACAGCTGCCTCACTTCAGATTGTAGGTCTTTGCACGTACGTCACAGAAACAGGGATCAGTCTCTTCCTCTCACTCCAGAGACCCTTAGGTAGCTTTTACAGCTCACCCAGGCATTCTAGACAAGAATTATTTAGCATCTCTTTCTCTCAGTCTTTCAGCATTCCTACTGAAAGGACACAGCAGGGCCCATACCGTCCCATTTAATTCTCCTGAGATGGTTCTAGTATTTGATGCAAGTAGTAAAGTGTGGAACAGAGCTCGCTGCTCTAAAAGGCAGCTCAGATTCGAACTGTTCATAGCTCAGAAGGTCAGAACTGGCAGCAGAAGCATTTGAAACATTTGAAATGTCAGCAGTCTAAGCTATTATGGTGGCAGGCAGATACATTCTGCACCAGCGTGAACTTTTGCACTGCTTTTGTACTGTTATCATATGCATACATACATACAATATTTTAATCAAAAGCTGACGAGCACGCAGATATTGTCACTCCTGGACAACTACACGTCCTCTACTAGGCTGAAGAGGACTGGGAAAGGTTTTGTCATAAAAACACCAACGCATTCAACATCAGCTAGCGTTGCTGGTGACCAAGTTTAGTCAGAGTCAAATATGATTTTGCCATTTTGGATTACTTTCAAGTTAAAAAAATAGTATCAGAAATAATCTAGTTTTGTAAACAAAATCAGCTGAATCATTAGGAAGTCAGTATCTAGCACCCGGGCCTGCTGTATTTACACATTTGTGAGATTTCAAGGTTTCCAATGCTGATCCCTCACTGTTATCCAAAAAAGCAGAGTGCGAACAACAGGAATGCTAGACTCAAGCAGAGTCATAGCAACTTCAATACCAAAAAAATGAAGCTAAATCATTTTAGGTGGAAACTAAAGTGTGTGGGTTTCTTTTGTTTTGGTTTTATTTAAAAAAAAAAAGCTATGATTTATTAGCTAAAACAAAAAGGTAACTAAGTCTCAGCTACTGTTTCATTTGTCTTATGCATGTCTAGCACAGGGAATATCAATTTCTCTCTTTTTAACATGTATTGCTCAACCTAATTAGCAGACCAACCCCAGAGATCTTCACGCAAAGAGAAGGATGTTGAACATGGCGCCTCCCAATCCATCAGCATCTCGAGTCTAAAATTGAACTCTAGTGAAGCAACACAGTAATAGTTGACCAAAACAAGTCCCGCGAGCTTTGAACTGTTCCACATTTAAATGAATGTGAAATAATATAGAATATACAAGCTGAACTGCAATTTGACTTTAGAAGTTCGGTTCAAAACTCCAGGTTTGCGGCCTGACTTTCTACATTTTAACTTTAGAAGCAGAACTGTAATTTGACTTTAGAAGTTCAGTTCAAAACTCCAGGTTTGCGGCCTGACTTTCTTTCAAGACTCAACGATCCCGATGAAAGAATTTGCATTTTGCACTGGGAGGGAACGTCAATCTGCTGGAGGGTAGAAAGGCTCTA